TGGTTATTACTTTAAGGTTGCCCTCTATCAAAGAAAAAATCAAAATTCCCTTAAAGGAAGACCTAAAGTGTTGGTGTCATATATCTGAATCCAGATCCACTAGGAGGTCACTATCCCAGTCTGTCAAGCTTTTGGGGAGAGTAGAAGCCTGTATATCATGGATACACCCCCTCGCTGACCTCGATCATTAGTGCACCATTGTTCATAATTTGTGAGAGTGGAAGGTTCCATTAGGTCCAATCTTAAAGTATTTCAGAAAATAAGAGATGTGGTAGAAGCAAAAAGACTCAGATTGGGGCATCTCAAGACTCGTTAGGCAATGACATAAGATGAAGGATCCCGTGAAAGTAAAATAATGCCCAATGGTGTATAGGTCTTTATCAAACCATCACTAAAATGCCCTTGTGTTCAAACCTGAAGAAAATTAGGGATCATTGAATTTATGGGCCTGGAGGGAATTTAGTATTATTGTATATATGCCTCAATGGGGTGAGCTAAGAAATAAGAGTTTTATAAGCCTGTAACCTATCCCAAAGGGCTAGAGAGTGCAACAAGGTTGGAGCCATGACTAGAGGTTGATCTTTAGGAGACTTTCACATGACAAAATCCACTGTGAAAGGTCGAATAGCTTGCAGTTTTTTAGACACCCATTTTGGCTTTTCCCGCTGAGAATATACCATAGAAAGCTGCATTCATTGAGCCACCTGGTAATAATTCCATAGATTGGGCACTCCCAGACCTTTTTGTTCTGGGAGCAAACAATTTCCTCTTCACGAGTCTGTCTCCTGTCCTTCCCCAAATATAATACTGCATATCATCTTCATTTGAACATTCGTTAGATCTGCACAACGAATCATCTCATTCACCTTGAGCCCAGATACAGTGCCAAACTCCCATAAGATCCGGAGAATATTAGGGGTGGAGGTTAAGGGTGGGGTTACAAATAAAAGTAGGTCATCCTCGAATAGAGCGCACTTATGCTTTAAGACTTCACACTAGCCCCTCGATACTTGGGTTGCCCTGTATGGCAATTGCTAGAGTTGCTATTGCAAATGTCAATGGGGACAGTGGGCATCACTGACATGTGCCTCTAGCTATCCTAAATGGTTCGGAAAGGTGTCCTTGCCACTTAATTTGAGCCTAGGGTTGGAAATAAAGGGACGTAAGTGTCCCCAGTTATCCAAAATACAAAAGAGGTACAACCAAGACACCGTCTCAAATTCCTTTTTGACAGTCAGTTGAAACCTTCTTGAAGGGCAGCACCATCCCATCAAGATTGCAAGAGTGATACAGTATGATAATAATCGCCCTTCTGATTTGGTCAGGGCCCTGTCTTGCCCGAATGAACCCAACTTGATCCTTATGAATATAAGCTCTAAAAAAAAGAGGATAATCTGTTTGCTAAGACTTTGGTCAAGAGTTTGAGGTCATTGTTAATAAAAGTGATGGTTATAATTCCCCACCTCTTGCGATCTTTATTTGGTTTTGGGACTACAGATACAGTATATAAAGCCATATACAAAGCAAGTTCAAAGAGGGTGTTAAAGAATCATATCAAATGTGGCACAAGTTTGTCCTAAAATTAATATAGACCAGGAAACCCGTACGGACCTGGAGCAGATCCTGTTCAAGTTTGATTGCAGCCAAAATTTCTAATGAAGTGATAGGCTCCTCCAACAAACTTCAATGGGTAGTGGACAGTACAGGGAGACAAAGATGGGCTAAAACATAATTCTTTCTATCATGGTTGTCCCTTGTGGGAGCTATGTATAGGGAGGTGCAAAACCAATTAAATGCCTCCAGCACTTTTTGGGGATTTGGTAAATAAGCCTGTTAGGGGATAATTTATGTGCTAGCATAATACCTGTCTTATCTTCATGCATATAAAAATTGGTAACAGCCCAACTGATGTTTTTCTCTGCTTTCATAGTTAGGGCCAGGTTAAGCTCAGGTCTAATGGCATCAATCTGCTGGCACACTGAGGGGGTCTAACGCTTCTGTGTTTTGAGGCGGGACTGTAGCTCATGATCTAACTTATTCATCGTAAACTGGTGATCTCATGTAAGTTGTGAGGACACTTGAATAATCTTAACCCTTACTGTTGCTTTGTTTCCCTCCCAGATTTTGATGTGATATGGCTTCATCCATATTTTCCTGAAAATATTCCATAATACATCAGAAAGGGTCACTTAATAGGGATTCATTAAGTTGCCATTGAAATGTGCTGGGGACCAAAAATAGAGAGAAATGGAGACTATGGAATGGTCCGACCATGCAGTTACTCTAATAGAGGCTTTATGAATAGTGGGCCTCACAGTGGATGAGATAAAAACATGGTCATTGCACAAGTTCATAGAGTGAGGGAACAAAAATGGGTATAATCTCATGTAGAGGGACTGTATTCCCCCCAGGCAGCTATCAGATTAAGAGAGTGTAACAGTTTAGCTATATGGGTGCTAGCCTTAGGTGGATGTTTGGGTAGTGCCTTGGCTGGGTTGGATTTATCCAGGCATAAATCTAAGGTAATATTAGAGTCCCCCCCCCAGCAGATTATAGCACCCTCCCACATTGTAGAAAAAAGGAGACTTGGCTGGTGTTAAGGACGTAGTAGGAGACAAAAGTTTGTTCGCAGACAAGACCCTTCACCAAGAGAAACCGATCCACATGGTCCTGAATGTCATTTAGGAGAGTAAAGTAGATTCATTACCGCTACTCCCTTAGTCTTATCCAGAGCATTAGCTAAGTAAAATACTGGATAAGGTTTGTATAGAGGGCCTATATGAGGATGTTTCCTGGATTAGCAGGATGTCAACCCAGTGGGAATGGTAATACTGAAAAGCCTTCCATGGTTTAATAGGGGGAATGGAATTATGGGAGATTATGGACAAAGTGTAGATTTACGTTTACCCATGGACCAGGGTGAAGATAGAGCTGTCAGACTTGGCTTCACTCACCAGATACCAAAAGGATGTAGGTTGAATCCTCTGGGACCAAAGCTGTTGTTTCAGAGGCTCAGGCTGCATGGAAAGAGATCCCCTAAGTCTAAAAGAGAATAGAAAAGGAATAAAATAAACAGGAGAACCCACATAGGGTCTAAAGAGCAAAACAAAAATTGTCCCAGGGTGAAGTAACATCGTCCCTGACCAAAACTATTAAAAAACACACCAAGTACTTTCAAGGTGTACAGCAAGAGCCAAAGCTCAGACTCATCTGAGCATCAACTCATGCAGGGAGTTACGACAGCTAGGTCTGGCCTTTACCAGTTATAGAACAATGCTAATAAGAACTCATAATTATATTACTTGTTAAAGTGACAATGACATTGTAAATGAACTAGCTTCAGGAGACTGACTAAATCTAAACAAAAAATGGGTATTGGTTCTAATTATCTATATGTAGCACTATCATCTTAGGGGTTGCTGATCAGTTTGGGTCCCCCTATAGACCTGCACATCAGGTTCTAGCTCCCTCTAGCCAAATTAGAAGGGTGCTACATATATATAACTATATGACTATAAGAAAGTCACTATGGAAGTTTTTCCAGGGCATTACTGTGACCTGATAGAAAAAGGAGGAAAACAACACTATTATTATTCAACCAGACCAATACATAAACCATAGTCAAATTGAAAAATCATACAAGTGTTCCCTGAAAATTAGAATCCCATGAGGACCTAAAACACCAGAACATGAATACATCATGTTCAGGAAGGGCAAGAATCCCAGTCAATCGCTGAGCTGTCTCAAATGTTGCTATAATAAAAAGAGAGGATGAGTGGCTTGCACAAATGTTCCAGGAGTGGTCTCAGATGGAGTGGAGCATTTAGAGGCATCTTGAGCGATGATATCCAGTCCTCAAAGCAGTTCCTTGCCTTCTGGGAATGAAGTAGTATGACTTGTTGTAAAAGATAAGGCGTAAAAGGAAGGCCCATCTATATTTGATCTCCTTATGAGACATTGGTAGAAGCAGTGGTTTGAGGGCCCTGTGTTTCTGAATTGTATATGGTAAAATGTCCACAAACACTTGTATGGGATGTCCCATGATAGAAGAGTGGAAAATTCCCTGGATTTCCTGATCACTATTTTTTTGGTACTATAGTAAGAAGGCTTTACAAAAATGCCTCTTTTTGGACCGTCAGGCTGGGCTGGATGTATGGCACTATGGGCTCTATCTAGCTCAAGTCAGTGGTCAGGCAGGTCTGGGCAGTATGTTTGTAAAAAGGAGCATACAGCAGCATATACATTCATAATAGATTCACGAAGGCGCTGAATCCTGAAATTGTATCTTCTGGACCTGTTCTCAAGGTCGTATAGCTTTGCCAAGCCCTGGTCCAACTGTTGATGCAAGTCTTTAATACATTTAGGATTCTGATTAGTGTGAGAGATGGTATCTAGCTTGTGCTCTATAGTCTCAATCCATGAATATGTTAACCCAACATTTCATATTCCTGATATGTGCCTGCTGTACCATGTTCTTGTATGAAAAAATATCCTCTCTTTGTATTGCTTCCTTGTGTGAAATCCCTGCTGTTCCTGTCAGTCTCTCTAGTTTCCTCTTAAAAACTGACCACACTAAGCAGGAGAACACACAGCCTATCTTTGGTAAGATCAGTGTACTACTGTTTCTCCTCCTCATCTCTTATGCAGCTGAGAACAGAGGATATGTGATCACTTATAAAAAAAAAATGGGAAACAGAGGTATTTATAATGTTTTCCATATCTATACATACTGTAAACATTTTGCCTTTCATTTTTATTTTTATCTGAATGGGATGTTTTACAAGGTGAGCGTTTACAATAACTTTAATGTCAGATGTAATTTGTACAGCAATCATAGAAAGTTTCCTATCCTGGAGGTCTGAGTTTTTGGCAAACAAGATTTGGTGCCCAATATCGTCAGGTTGAAGTGGGCTCAAGGCATGTTAACCTCTTTCCCGCCGCCCTATGGAAGATATACTGCTACAGGGCGGCACGGGTGTGCAAAATCATGTATATATATGTGATTTTGCATTTCCAGGTAGGGGGCACGCGCACGCCCTACCAGCGCTGCCTTTAGTGGCCGCGGCTGTCAATCACCGGGTCCCAGGCCTGGGTGATTACTCGCTGGCGCCAGGTGATTGCCAAGGATCTCCGACGGGGAGGAAAACTCTATGTTAACAATACAGTTTCCCTCCCTGTCAGCTCGTATACACTGCTTTGGATGACTGTGTGATTACAGTGAAGCACAGACACACAGCCCAAAGTAAAACAGCACACAGTTAACCCTTTGATCGCCTCTCATATTAACCCCTTCCTGCCCAGTACCATTAGTACAGTGTCAGTGTTTTTTTTTTAGCACTGATCACTGTATTGGTGTCACTGGGGATGTCAGTGACACCAAATCAGTTCCCCCCAGTGTCAGAATGCCCGCCACAGTCCTGCAGTCCTGATATAAGTCACTGATCACCACCATTACTAGTAAAAATTTAAAAAAATAAAATTCCAGTATCTATACCGCCATTTGTAGATGCTAAAGCTTTCACATAAATGGTTTAATTTACAATTATTGGGATTTTTTTTTTAGCAAAGACATGTAGCAGAATACATTTTGACCTAAATTTATGATGAAATTCGATTTTTTTTAGTTTTTTACTGGACATGTTTAATAGCAGAAAGTTAAAAATATTGTTTTTTTTCTCAAAATTGTCAGTTTTATAGTGCCAAAAATAAAAAACGCACAGGCAATCAAATACCACTGAAAGAAAGCTCTATTTGTGGGAAAAAAGGACGTAAATTTCATTTGGGTGCAGCGTTGCATGACCGTGCAATTGTCAGTTATAATAATGTAGCATCGTAATGCAAAAAATGGCCTAGTCAGGAGGGGGGGGGGGGGGGGGGTGAATCCTCCAGAGGGCAAGTGGTTAATGGATGGTAGAGCTGCTAGGTAAATGTGTTTGCTGAGATGTGAGAAAAACCATCTTATGCCTCGTACACACTATAAGAAAATCGTACGAAAATTTTTGGACGAGAACCGATCGTCCAATAATCGGATCGTCTGTACACAGCTTTCGAGAGCTGATCACGACAATTCGTATGACAATATCTGAAGGGACAAGCGCAAAAATGTTTCTCGTACGACACCAGATTGCACAATTTTCGTTTAATCAGTACAGTAGTCATCTGAAAATACAATACAAATACAACGCAATACATGATATCACTTTTGAATTTCTTTTCTTTAAAAGGAGAATTTTTGTATCTTTAGTCATTTTTTCCCTTTTCAATGTGAGACTAGCAGGCAAAAAAAAAACAGCCGATCGTTTGTCTGATATTCTCATCGTGTGTACGGGGCATAAGGTTCTCTCAATCAGAGATTCTGTAAATACAGGAGATTTACGATCAGGTGAGGATTTTACTCACTAATGAGGAGTGCTCATCTCATACCTCATCTAGTGAGGGATCATTGGGACTGTGCTGTCCAGCGCACCTTCTGTGGATGTTTGTGTGGCTGAGACTGTGCTGCAGTCAACATCTTATTGGGTGGTAGTGAAATGGGTTGTTGTTTGTGGCAGCCAAGATCAGGCACTGATCGGTTCCTGTGGTGGCATTGAGCAGTTCAGGGTACTTTCCGGAACCTCTGCCCTCAGTTGTGCCAAGAGTCAGACCTGCAAAGCCACAGGAGCTGGTACGCAGCTCATAGGTTACATGGCCATCTTTGACGAGCTGTGCACAAGTGTCCCTAGAGTGAAATTATATATGAAAATGTATGTACTCTCAAGATTTTTTGGTGAACAGCATTAAAAAAAAAAAAATCTAAATAGAAGAAAAAATATGCAACAGAGTATATAGAGCTTTTCTATGGTTGAACTGGATGGGCTTTTGTCTTTTTTTCAGCCAGACTAACTATGTAACTATATAATTCGCATTGGTTCTACTAGCTGATGTATACAACAGTCTTAATTAATTACAAATCAATATAAATTATTTTTAAATGTTGACAAATTTATATAAAAGTATTCATCAGGTTACATTTAACAATTGTTAAATGCAGACCTCATAGAATTTTTTCTGATCCAAATTTCAAATGACAAGCAGTGTCTTTTTAGTAAAGCATTCTGTATATGCCAGCATGTAAAGGGTAAACAATATACCAGGAAATACCTAAGTCCAGCATTACCTCCCACAATGCTTTGTTGCTGTTGGGTGCTCCTGAGCAAAGTGAGTGCAGTGACATCATCAGGTTGGAATGCATGCTTTATCCGGTTGTGTCTGGGGAAGTTATTTCTCTTCTTTGGGACTTTTCTCGCTGAGGAAGGGCTTGGAGGAATGTGTAGGGATAAACTTACAGGAGATAAAGGGATTATTTGTGTCAGTATTTTCCAGCTTCTCCTTCAAACCCAGTATGGGGAGAGATGTGAAGATATCCATTTTAAAACAGAGATAAATGAAGCTAATAAAGTGATCAATAACTTTATGGGTATTAATGTAAGTATTATCTAAGTCAGTGGTCTCCAAATTTTTCTGTAAGAGAGCCACAATGTTATATTTTACAAATATCTGCAGGCCCAAAAAAAATTCAGTTTTATAAATGAATACATTTTATTTATTTTTTTTTTTATTATTTTTTCCATTATATCTTTTATTAAATTTTTCTTTCAAGAAAAAAAATACCTTACAAAACCATCATAAATCTTTTTACATCATACATATAAACTTTATCCCCATACCCACCAAAAACACACCCCTGTCCAATCTCATCTAATCCTCTCTACATTTTAAATCTTCAGCATAATAGGATTCAGAACAAACGACTACACATTCGTGTGATTGCCATGTTTTACCTGCACAAGATGCACACGTGTCCTGTGCATCTGAACAGGCTTTCCTAGGGGCATACCTACAGGGGTCGCAACATGCTACAGGGGGCCTGTGTGACATCTCTGTACTCCTGGATAGGATCCCTGGAGAAGTCACGTGTTATCGTGATGCAACATGTCGGACTAGCGCGTGGTGATGCAATTACGCACAGACAGCAGCCATCTTTGGACTCCCTATGCAAGCACCCAGACTGTGGGTTATACAGTTCATGCCTGGTGGGTCTATGACCCGATTTTAATGTGTGAGTAGGTCTTTGGCATTTGTGTATGGTATAATAAATTTTACTCTATTACACTATGGTGGCTTTTTCTCTGATTCCCTGTTTATGAGCCATTGGGAGAGTGGAGGAGTATTGTAAAGGTGCCTTACCATTGTAATGGTTGATTAACCATGGGCTGTGTGGAAGCTGATCCTGTGTCCATCCAGAGAGTGAGATTCATCCCACCTGGGGGGACTTAATGGTGATTTGTTATGCCTTATGACTCCTTGAGGGTCAAAGATTGGAGGTAAGCGTGCGCACTAGATGGTGACAGATGGTCTGACGCACTTGAGCACGTATTAATTTTCACGGTCGAAGATTGATTCATCACAGTTATACGTTTGGGACTTTGTGCTATATAATTTATGAATATTGTTAATTTATGATCACATGTATTTATGTTTGGTTAATATTTGTTTCACTTATATCACCTATCACTTATATTTAGTCACATTCTTCATGGCATGTTTTTGGGCTACACATTAGGTGCACCACTGTACACCTATATATTTATTCATATAATTTATGTATTCACCTATTTAATATCGAGTCCTTTATTGATTTTTTTTATGTCAAGTTTGACATGGTATTAGCGCTACACCACCTAATCTACTTATGTTTCATCCATTCTAGTCTAGTTAGGTGTCAGCAGCTTCTTCGTTTTTATATCTTTGGCAATGCATGAGTCGATACCCCTTTATGAATCAATCTAAATGCCATGTGCAAATGTGCGACTCTGTTTTATAAACCAACTACTGCACTGCTGCTCTCCTGCTGGAATCTTGCCAACTCAAAACATGTAAAAATATTAGAATTCCTGAAGCTTCCTTAAGACATGCTATGCACTGTGACGAACGCGGGATCGCTGCCACCAATATGTGACGACCCCACGATCGCTGTCACCAATATGTGACGACCGTGGTGTCAGATCCCAGCCCTTCTCACCAAACTCGTGACCGAAGGACTAGCCAATCTAAAACCACGATGTCACGTGCGTAACAATGCCACACCCAGCTGCACCCTGCACATTTTCTAGCTAATTGGACCACAATCGATGTACCGGCAGCCTGAGCGATTGTTACTGGGTCAGGTTAATTACGCGATTAACCCTTCACACTGCCACTACCTCCTTTTTGTACAGAGAAAGAGGAAACTCGGCGATATCCGCAATAACACTATAATGGTTGAGGTAATCGTCTGTATAACACGTCACCGCAGGCCGGTTATACAGAGGGTTAAGCAAACCTAGTAGCGTTCTCTTTAGAGGCAGGAATTCGTAAATTGCAATAAAGAGCTATAGAAACAGTTCAACACTTTTAGAAGGAAAGATTTATTACTAAAAGGTCAGAGATCCCCCTAGTGAGCCGTTTGGTTTGGTGCTCCCTTTTGCACCTACAATATGTGAGTGGAATATATATTTTTTTGACACATTTTAAATAAAGAATTTGCTGCACTATGATTATTTCCTTGGCCTTTCTCTGAGACACTGAGAATAGAGAAGGTGGTTAATATCATGTGATTGGAGGAGATTGAACGATCCTGCAGGACTGTGCATCATAGTTAAGGCATACAGGATCTGTGTTTACAAGCTTGCTGGCTACATTGTTGGCTGAGTTGTTCTGGTGAGTCCCCATTTCATCAATTCACGGTGGTGGAACTCAATTTGGAGTTAAAAGAATTAGACACCAGTTGGAACTGTCACATTAGAATGACTTTTGGGATTTTGGATCTCACATTTTTTGTGACACGGTATTTTATATTTATGCTATGTTGATTCATATTTATTTTGTATGATTATCGCGATTGTACTATTTTGGTGAGCACCTACTTCTATCAATTGCACATTTATGATTAAAAAAGTACAAATCGAAATAAAGTCTGTGCACGTTCATGAACATGGA